CATACACTTGAGTTGCACTGATGCCTCGTTTCATATAAACCAAAAGACTTCCAAAGATGAGACTGTAGCAAGCATGATTTAAAACGACGGCCAAGGTACACTACGGCAGCCATTTTGTGTGGAGCACATGTTCTCAACCCAGTCCAATCTCGGTCAAACGGAGCGTACCTCAAGGTGGAATGGTACAAAGTCCTTTCTGACAATTTGGAATATTGGATATTGGAATAATTATGGATTATGGAACTTGCCCTTGCGGACATGTCGACTTGATCACAAAATTAATAGACGCCCGTAGAAAAATGAGACAAATAGATTTAAAAAGAAACGGATAACTACTAAGAAGAGTCATCATCGAAAGCAACAAAGAAATTCTATAAAAGAATGCCCTGATATCTTCACCTAGTGGACTTTAGTTCCTCAGGCAGCTAGTTTTTCACCAGTTTTTGTAAAAACAATTGTTTGCAATTGCTCTTGGTCAGCAAATCCTCAAAGCAGTCCTCGTATAGAGCTATTAATTAAGGTGAAAGAAAAAATGAGGAAAGAGAAAGAGAAAGATTTGAAAAACTTTTCAGTTTACTGTATTACTTGGAATAAACGCCACGGCATTTATTAAATTTTCTACGATTTGGGTGCGGCGTTTATTCGAGGGCGGCGTTTATTCGAGGGCGGCGTTTATTCGAGAGCGGCGTTTATTCGCGAGCGGTGTTTACTTAATATGCTGTTTATAAAAACAACCAAATTTAAAAAGTAGAACAAGAGATACCTTGTCTGGTTGTACATATCAAACTCAAACTTGTTGCGCTTGTAAACGCGTAAGAAATGAAATCAGTTTGATGTTGCAGGTGTTTTTCTGTGTCTTTCAAACATTATCTTTACGGTGATAATTAGGCAGCTCCGCTCTGCACTTGTTAAAAGTTAACGTTGTAAATCCTGTTACAGTTTATTGTCTGTTCTTTTGCGGATTTACACGCTTTACATTTCAAAATATGCAACTAACTGAAATGCGAAAAACAGATACACTTGAAATTTCAGTTCATAACATTATTAAAAATACAAGTAATTGCGATAGGCTTCTATCTGACCCCTAGTTCACTCGACTTACTTCAATGTCACTGTCTGCATCTTGATCAGAGTGCAAAACCAGCAAAGTCGGGGAGTATGTCTCCTCAACATCAGAACTGGTGCATTAAAAAAGATCTGTATCTGGCTCATTGCCCGCCCGCTGCTCCATGGCTGTTTTTCTTTGAGGCAATGGACTGTGTCGTCTACGGACCCGTCAACAGGTAGGTTCAATGTGCAACTTTTGAATGAATTCTTTACTGATTCGGTCAGCAGCTCAGCCCAGGCGTCAAGGATCCACTGTAGAATGGTTCTTCAAGGAGGTGCCTTCAAATTCTCTGCTGCCGTTTCATCATGAATTTCCACATTGCCAAGCCACTCATCGTACTTCTCAAAGCAGGCTGCTTTGAAAGGCTTGCTCCAGCAAACGTCTGGAGCCTGGATTAGTTTAGTAGACGCTCCTGGCACAATGACCAGGTCGATTTTTTTTCGACTGCAATGCTTGGCAAATGCTCTCTTTGATATGACACTCGAATGAGTCCCAGGCCAATAGCCTACGATTAAACGAGAATGAACCCAAAACAGAGTCGACCCAGACTTTCGTTAGTTCGGTGTTCATCCAGGAATTTGCTGAAGTCGTAACAACTGCTCGATGTTTGAATTCTTGGTTCAAGGCTGCAACTTCCCTTTTCGTACCTTTAAATACAACCTCGGTTTAAGCTTCGTCCCGTCGGCTTTCGCAGCTAAACACACAGACATTCTAGATTTTTCACGGCCTGTTGTTTTCAGAGTTTTTGTTTTTCTGCCAGTTACATCTACGGTTGTTTCTGATACCATGTCGCCCCAGACGGGCGTTTCATCCATTGCTATGATGTTCGATGGAGCGTAGCTCTGCTTTTCTTGCAAATGTCGAACTTGAATGATATACGATACGACTTTCGCTACCAGTCTCTCTGGATCTTGTTGAGCGACTGATGTTTTGTGCCTCAAAGACAAGCCATTTCTTTTCATGAATTTCTCTACCCAGCCTATTTATGCCTTGAAATCTTCCTCCACGTTCTCCATGTCTTTTGTCAAATCAAGATAAACGACTTCTGCTTTCTTCATTGTAAGTTTGCGGGAAACACGTAGGCCACGAGATCGTCTGCTTTCAATCCATTCTAATAAGACTTCCTCGAGTTCTGTATTCAAGGGCTTTCTCAGTCTACCACCAATCAATCTGCTTCTTTCCTTGCCTTTTTTGGTTGCAATTAGTTCTTCGATAACAGCTTTGTTCCCGCGCCATTCTCTAACTCTTCTTTCGTCAACTTTAAATCGGCGGGAAGCGGGTGGATTTCCGTGCGTTTGA